AAAGTCGACGAGAAGCCGCCCCAGACAGCCACCAAAGTCGACGAGAAGCCGCCCCAGAAAGCCACCAAAGTCGACGAGAAGCTGGTTCAGGTGGAGGATCTGAAGTCCACCGAGGTGGATGCCGGGAGCTGGCGATGGATCCTGACACTTTCCACACCGGACAAAGAGGACTCGCACTTAGTTCTCCAATACCCGACCTTTAAACTTTAAACTTTTTGGGTTCTTATAACTTAGTAGCAATCTGAAAGCTTAACCTTTTATTTCCCCGGCTTATTTGCGTGCAAGTAAGCGCAGGACGTGAAGCCAAACGAGGATGCAGAAGAGGCCAACCAGTGGATCGTCTCTCTCGCACGACCGGCCGGCAAGGATGCGATGCCCGTTGCAGCCCACTGAGATCGAGAAGGGAGTTTCCGAAAACAAGGGGTACCTTATTTAGGAGTCCTTATAATAAGGGTCCTACTATATTTAGGGTTCGGAAACCCCCAGAAGGAGCTCAATCATGATGCAGACTCTCAGCTCTACCGCCAGGTACAGCCCCCCGGAGCTGAAAGAGGGCCAGGTGTAGTCAAAAGTGTCTACAATGCAGGCCTTCGTTTGCAGTCACCTTTTCTATTGGGGTTGCGGCCGCATGATTACTTGGCCTGTGCATGCGGGCTAAAGACAGACTTCGGGCGGGTGGAGGGTAAGTAGAAAGACCTTGGAATCATGCTCGCTCGCACCACTGCGTAGCTTACTTAGGCGAAGGCCTGGCTAGTCCGAGAGCGAGTGCCGAAGAGATCAAGATCGTTCGTAGTGTTGGTAAAATATAGGGGCTTTAGTCATTGCCTATACTACTTTGTCATAACTGCAGTATAGTGGGCCCCAAAACCCTGTTCAAATTATTAAGGCCCGTATATTAGGATGTTTTGGTCCGTAGTCCACCCTTGCCTTGTTCTTGTTCAGGAGAGTGATCCGTTCCCCTTGCGGGTCTTTGTCGTTGAAAGGCTCGGTACGGTTCTCCTAGTTCCTTCTCTGGTTTAACCGATTATAGACTAAGGATCCTAAATGTTAGCCCAAACGAACTACAGCGGAGACTATAGGAAAGTCTCATCATCCTTTTGCGACCTCGGCACACATGAGGACGATGCTCGGCTGTGCAAGTTACACCCAATTCGGGATTTGCAGCCAGGACAGTCGTTTCAAAGGACCGTCGCAGTTTTCCAGATGGAGGAATGAGCCCGTGCACAGGTCCGGAGCCAAAACATGAGTTTACCGTCATACTGTGGAAACTGATGATGTTACAATAACAAGCAACCACAACACAAGAAGCAACACCACCACCACTGCCAACAACAACAACAACCACAACCACATCCACAGTTACATCGCCAATAGCAACAATAACAACAACGTCAGCAACAACATCAACAACAACAGCAACAGCAACAACAACAACAGCCGCAACAGCAACAGCAACCACATTAACCACAACAACCACAACGTCAACTACTATTATCATTATTTTTTATTAATACTACTACTGCCCCTGCACTGCTGCTGCTGCTGCTGCTGCTGCTGCTGCTGCTGCTGCTGCTGCTCCTACTGCTACTGCTACTGCTGCTATTATTATTTTTGTTATTACTACTGCTGCTACTACTGCTACTGCTACTGCTACTGCTTCTGCTTCTGCTACTGCTACTGCTACTGCTACTACTACTACTACTACTACTACTACTACTGCTCTACTACTACTACTATTACTACTACTACTACTACTACTACTACTACTACTACTACTACTACTGTGGTCATA